ACTCCCCCCCCCTTCGCTGCCTTCCCCTGTCGATGCATATACTCATTCGATTAATTGTGTATCTAACGATTAGAATAATAATTGCTTAACGACTAAGAGAATGAAAAATTGTATTAACGAAACGACTTCCAAAGTCTTGAAAGAGACGTCAAATTGTGCTCCAATTCCCGTATAATTGGACTGTCGTCGACCGAATCGATTTTATTTTTTCTTTTTATTATTCTCAAACGTAATATTTAGATGTTCACTATGCGCCTTTAATGATAAAAAAATTTTTTTAAATTTGATGTTAAGAAAGATGATGATCGCGACGAACTTTCTATAACGAGATATTGAAATGAGAGAGAAGGAACACCTTACTTTTTTCTCGACGCGATGTTTCATATTATGTACGCGCCCTCCCTATTCTTTACTTTACAAACTTACTTTGTCATAAGTTGCGTTTTATCGTATATAAATATACGAATTCTATGAATAAAAAAAACGACTGTATTTAAGAGCGTATACTTAATGGATATAAATATAAGTTGAGACAAAACATTGTTTTTGTTTTTTTTTAATTAATAATTTGTACTTATTCTTTGTAATACGCATACATTGTTAAAATACGTACAGGTCACATTATTTTTGTAAAATTATTTGAGCAGAAAAAAACTAATGTACTGGCATTTGATTGCCTATTATTTTCTTGATTAATTTCTTTATAAACTCACAACAGTTGAAGTAAATTATAGAAAAAAACCTGATTTGAAATTGATATAGGAAGTGAAGAGGCATCTTTTTTTCTTGTTTAGAACAAATTGAAAATTGTTACTTATTCAATGTAGTATAGCTTACAATTTGCTTCCAATGCATGACACGTACATTAATTATAATTTTGACAAAGCTGTAAGGAATGAGTAAACCTGGAGTGGTGCGCGCACTACGTTCTAGGATTTTATACATATATTAGAATGGGATATTTTTTGTAAATTTGACGGTGATATGTAAGATTTATTTTTGTTTTTTAAAATTACATTTCCTCATGTGCGTTCGATATTTTTTTTAGAATTTCAACAATTGCATAATATTTTAATATTTAGAAGAGAGATGCTGTATGTTTTTCTGCGATTTTTTTCTTTCTTTTTTGATTTAGGATCTAGAATCTTTTTATTTTTTTCTTACTGTATATATATATATATACATATATGTATATATATACAGGGTGTCCGGTAACTAACGGACCAACGATTACAAATGGATTCTTTGGTCAATTTGGGAACGATTTTTCCTCAGCGAAATATCGAAAAAGTCATCATTTTTACAACTTTCCAATATTTGTCATTATGTATCTTTATAACTAAGCCTCAAATTACAATTTTATTATAGTAAACTCTACCTGAAATTAACTGAAGAATGTAATTATGTTAGACTTTTAATTCCAAAACGTTTAGTTTTCAAAAAACCCATTTTTTCAATTGCTTATAACTCGAAAATTATTGACTTCTCAACATTTTTGCTAAGGAAAAATCGTCTCCAAATTGGCCAGAGAATCCGCCCTTGATCATTGTTCCGTTAGTTACCGGACACCCTGTATATATATATATATATATATATATATATATATATATATATATATATACATACACACACTATATATCTATATGTGTATGCATATATATAGGATATGTTCCTTATAAAGTGATACACTATTTTCTCCGCTATTACTAGAGATATTAACAAATGTTTTTTTAATTAAATTAAATAGAATGCTTGAACATTTGAGGGCTAAATAAAATGTTAGGTAACTCTTAAGGGGCAAAATGGGAGGCATTTTATTTTTTTATAGAATCACTATAATTTTTTTATATAAATAAATTCTTAATATTTAGCATGTAAAGATTAGGATAATACAAAAATGAATATTTTCAAAGATATTTTGTATTTTAATATAACAATTTTGCATAAACTATATAAAATATCTCGTAAAATATTCATTTTTTGATTATTTTATTTTAATATTTTTATGCATAAAATTATAAGGATAATCAATTGGTGTAAAAAAAAACAATTGTTTTTAAGGCTCCTGGGTTCTCGCCGCGGCCATGTTGGATTGTGACGTCAGAAGTGAGAAAGTACACGCTGAAAATTTTTAGATGCTATTTTTAAGTGAAAAGATATTTTGATGAAACACTATTTCAGATCGCTTAAGCACACTTAAAATATTTCGAAAATTATATTATCCTTTGACAATCAATCAACAACCGTAAAATTATCGGATCAGACTTCGCCATGCGGAAAGAATGCGCATGTGCAAGGATTAGACGAATTGGGACTCATATTATAGTCATTTTACAACTGTTGATTAATTATAAAGGGAAAAAGCAAGTTTTCGAAGTATTTTAAGAGTACGCTAAAGCAATCTGAAGTGCTGTTTCATCTTTTTATTTCGAAATGCATCTAAAAATTTTTGGTGTGTTTTCTGACGTCACAATCCAACATGGCCGTGGCGAGAACCCAG